TTCTGTACACAAAATATAATCAATTTGGTTTATGCTCAAAATAACTTGCTGGAATTTGGGAAGATTGTGTTGAAATCTGTTGAGCAAGCTAAAAAAAATGTCATTGAAACAATATGGACTCTCCCAATTCATGAACATGAAATGTCTCTCCACTTATTCTTATCTTCCTTGATTTCTTTCATCTGTTTTATAGATTTCTATCTATGCATCCTATACACTATTTTTTTTAGATTTAGACCTAAGAAAATTTTTGGTGCTATTATAAATAGTATTGTGTTTAAAATTTTAACCTCTAGTCGTTCGTTGATGATACATAGGAAAGCATTTGGTGCTTGTGTATTAATTTTGTATTCTGCCATCTTGTTTTAGTCACCATTATGGACAAATTTTTCCTCCCAAATTCACGTGTTCAAGCCCTAACCCACAATGCCCTAGAATGACTGGGACTTTAAAAATTAATTAAGTTAAAATGAAGCCATTAGTGTGGGCCCTAATCCAATCTAATGGATGTCAATAGAAGAGCCAGTCCAGACAAAGGGACAGCTAGGTTGTTCATGAGTAAAGAAAAGGCCATGTGAGAACACAGGAAGAAGGTAGCTGTCTACCAGCCCTGGAGAGAGGACCCAGGAGCCACTAACTCGTTGCCACATTGATCTTGGACTTCTAAGGCTTCACAAATCTTCGAAAGTGAATTTGTATTGTTTAAACCACCCAGTCTGTGGTATTTTTTGTTACGGCAGTCCTGACAAGCTAACATAATCACTTCTTGGGTCCAAGAAATTTTGCTGATTCTTCAGGATTTTTCTATATACATAATCATATCATTTGTGAAGGAAGACAGTTCAATTTCTCCCTTCCCGAGTTATATACATTTTATTTCATTTTACTGTTTTAACACAGACTAGAATTTCAGGTATGGTATTGCATTGGTTGAGGGCATTCTAGTCTGTATTCTGATCTTGAGGGAAAATATGCAGTCTCTCACCACCAATGATGATATTGATTATAGGGTTTTTTGTGGGTCCTCTTTATTTAATTGAATTCTTAGTTTGCTGAGAGTTTCTTTTTTAAAAATCATGAATGGTTTTGGATTTTTGGATTTGGTAGTAGGCTTTTTCTTCGACAGATGATATGATCATACTTGTTTTTTCCTTAGCCAGTCCATGCACCTCTCTCTGATGTTAAGATTTTCTCTTTGTCTTTTGTTTTCAGCATTTTAACATGATGTACTTAGCTGTGAATTTCTCTAAAGTAATTCTCCCTGAGCTTTCAATACTTCTTTAGCCAATGGTTTGATTTTTTTTAAATCAGTGTTGGAAAATTCTCAATCTCTATCTCTTCAAATACTGTTTTTCTCTGTTCATTTTCTTCTCTACCTCTGAGATTCTAACTACCCTTCTGTTGGTCATTCCCTATACCTCTTATGCTCTCTTATTTTCCACTTAATTTCCTTTTGTACTCCAGTAGATATTCTTAACTGACTTACCTTCTCGTTCATTAATCCTTTCTTCTGCTGTGTCTAACATGCTAGTAAATCCATCGTTTACATATCCCAGTTTTATGCTGAAACTCTATTTATTTAAGATTTAACTTAGAACATTTTTATTTCCTTTGCGGGGGTGGGGAATTTAGGGGTTGAATCCAGGGCATCACAGGTGTTAAACAAGTGTCCAGTCACAGAGCCACAGTCCCAGCCCCCACACTGTGCTCGTTGAGTGGCTTCTCGCTGAGTTGATCATCTCTATTTTTCTTTGCTTTCACTTGTGTTGATTTTTGTTCTTATTTTAAATTTTCATTCAGTGTATTTTATTTAGTTTATTTCACATTCTTTTGTCTTAGAACAGAATTTTTGATCATATTTATCTTCAAAAATTCATTTAATGCTATAAATGTACATTTATGAACCACTTTAGCTACATCTCAATTTTCATTTATGCTATTTTCTATATCATTTAGTATCTTATGCCTACAATATTTTTTTTTTGTTTAGTGAGTTAAGTAGACTTGAATTTGGTATTTGGTTTAAAAATATATTAAGTTCCATTGACCATATGTTTACTGTTGATCCATAATTTAATTGTTTATTGATCATAGAATCCAATCAATATAGAACTGATATTTCAAAAATTTTTGATATGTCTTTTGTGATCAACAATATGAGCAATTTTTTAAAAATGTTCTGTGGGCATATATATTCTTTACTAGCTACATATAGCATTATCTTGATGTGTTTATTCAATAATTCTTTTGAAGAGAATTCAATTCTATGTGTTAATTCTATTACTCAAATATTCTATATGCTTAATATGGGGGATTGGAGAGATTTATTAAGATTTATCAGTTTTCAACAAAAGTGTATTAAATCTCTTTCTACAACCCAATTCCCCTTAATCTAGGTACCTCAATTTCTTGTAAGTCTACCACTATAGCTTTATATTTTTTCAGTCTATATAGCTAAGTGTGTACAAACTCATGATTTTAATATCTTCCTTGTAGATTATTTCCATTTATTAAATTGTGGTGATTGACCTTGACATTCTATTAATCTCCTGAATTTTTACTTTTCCTTGTGTTAATATTGTTATTTTATGTTTCTATGATTTAGGCTTTGCTTAGGATATTTTTCCCTTAATTTTTAACTTTTGATTGGGTTTTATTTAAGATATGTATCTTAAAAGCAGCGTGTAGGTAGATTTTATTATTTAAAGTGATAATTGTAGTCTTTTAATGTGTGTTTTTCAGATATGATTGTTGATATATTTGTATATATTTCTAAGGTATGATTTCAAATTTCTGTTTACTAACACTTTTTCTTAAAGTATTTTCCCTGGTATGATAAAGCATTCTTTATTCACCTTTATTTAAATACAGGAACATAATTTGCTGTTTTCTAATTTATAGATTTTTTTCATAGTTATTTACAAATTTTAGCATACTTGATGAATTATGACTTTAATAATTTTCCTACAATATCTCTAGTTGTTCAGTATTTCCACCTATGTCCTAGTATATCAAAGACCCCAGAAAACTTTAATTATCCATTGGACTTACTTTCACCCATTTAAATATTACCCCCTTTTGAACATCTAAACTAATAACTATTATTTTCTTAACTTAATAATTAAGTTTATTAACATACTTTATCAATTTTAATGATTACCATGTTTATCTCTTAGACATTCTTTCATTGACTATGATTTTATCTTGAATTTCACAAATACCCTCTTGTCCTCTTTTCTTCTGACTGACATGAAACCATTAATAGTCCTTTTAGCAAATATGAATACCCTTTATCTTTGAAATTCTGAAAATCTCTTTAGTTTTCCTTGTTCTGAAATGGTAGTTTAACTGGTTGTAATATTCTAAAGCTAAGTAATTCAACAGAGAAAGCTTCTTTTCAACAAATTGTACTGGAACAATTGGATACTTCTAGGCAACAACATAATCTCAAAGCTTTTCTTCACCTTTTCAAAAAAGTTTAATTTGAATCTTACAATAACTTAAATGTACAACCTAAAACTATAAAACTTTTTAAAGAGGTAGGAGAAAAATCTTAGTGATATTGGGTTTTCTTAAAAACATTAATCAAAAATTAAATGTTATAAATTAAATTTTATAATCTATTCTTCTAAAGAAACTGTCAATAGGGCCAGGGATTTTTAGCTCAGTGGTGCAGCGCCTGCCTCGCAAGCACAAAGTCCTGAGTTCAATCCCCAGTACCAAAAAAAAGACTGTCAATACAATAAGAGACAAGCCTAACACTGGGAGAAAATATTTACAAAATATTTATGTGAAAATACTTCTGTCTAGAGATAAGGATGGCCAATCAGTATATGAAAAGACACATATCACTGGTCATTTGGTAAACTCAAACTGAAACCATGAAGATATATCATTATACACTTACTAGAATGACTATATTAAAACTGATCATATCAAATTCTGGCAAGGTTGAGAAACAGCCAAAACTCTCGTATTCTACTAGTAGGGGTACACAAAAACACAATCAACATGAGTAATGTTTACAACTTTCTTCTAGAATATTTAGCAAGAGAAATGAAAACATTGATCTACACAAGTATCAATAAGTGGATTTTTTTAGCAATTTCGTGAATAAGAACTCCAAAGCAGGCACAACCTTACTATCTGTTGACTAGTGATAGGTAAATTATCAAGAGTAAAAAACTAATAAGGGAAAAGTATGAAGGAAACACTTCTGCTATCTAAATTGACTTAGATGAATCTCCAAAACATTTTACTAACTGAAAGAAGCTGGAGTATATGATATAGACTGTATGATTCCATTCAAAGGCTGTAGACTGTATATTCACTCATACAACCTTTGGGAAAAGGTTAAAATACAGGGGCAAAAATCCCATCAGTGTTTTCTGGGGCTAGACTTAAGAGAAGGGATTGCCACAAAGGGGCACAATGGAACTTTTTGGAGAGAAAGAAATACCTTTTATCTTCATGCTGATGTTGATGACACAATACATTTGCCAAAATTCTACAAATTTTATACTTCACAAAGATAAATTTCATTGAATGTAAATTATACTTCAATAAATGTATGAATATAAGAATATAATCCAGTATCTTACCACTGCTTCTCACCCTTTCCATTGCACTCCCTTGGTTCAGGTCACCACCCACTCTCTTTAGCCTCCTAACTGGTCTCCCTTCTTAAGCATCTTTAGTCAGTTTTCAATTTAGTACCCAGAAAGAGCATATTAAAGTGTAAATCAAGCCATTGCATTTCTCTGTTCAAAACCAGCCAGATTTTCCCATCTCACACAGTTTATATAAGTCCCTAGAAGATCTTTCTTTCCCATCGCTAGGACTTCTTGACCCTTCCCTGTACCCCTCATTCTCTCTCTTTAGCTACACTGCCCTATTTACTTTTTATAGAACCAGACTGTGTTAGCCTGTTTTGTATTGCTGTAATAAAATACCCAAGACTTGGTTGGTTATAAAGAAAAGGAGTTTATTTTGGTTCACAGCTCTTCAGGCTAGAAGGTGAATAAAGCATGGAGCCATCTTATGAGGACCTCATCTTGCATCACAGCATGGTGGGGAGGAAGCAGCTTTGTGCAAAGAGGAATATGTGTGCAAGACAGAGAAGCATGAGGAGAGACCTGTCTTTGTAACAACCTACTCTCATGGTAACTCACCCACTCCTACAATACCATCATTAATCCTTTCCAAGGTGCTTCCCACATAATTCCAAACACCTCCAATTGGCCCACTCCTTGCAATACTGCACTGAATGAAGACCAACTTTCCAGAAAACTATATCCAAACCATTGCTCAGACCCTTTTTCACCTTAGGATCTTCACATTTACTACCCCTTCTACCCTCTCCCAGGTGTTTCAGGCCTCCCAGATGTCCGAATAACTTGCTCCCTTAAGGTCTTTACACAAATGTCACTTTCTAAATGAGATCTTCTCTGGCCTCCCAATTTAATATTACAAACTCCCCACAACCCCAGCCACCATGTCCTATCCCTTTCTCTGCTTTAATTTTTGGGTAGCACTTCTAAATTTTAATTACTATGAATTTTATCCATTTATTTTATTTATTGTTCATCTTTCCTGCTCCCCACACTTCACTATTCCAAGCACATTGAACACAAGTTCCATCAGATAAGGAATTGTATTGGAGACCCCTGCAGTTAGGTTCTAGTTTCTCACCCAGTATATGATGCAGGCCTGAGGAAAAAATACACCAAAAGACAGAACTAAGAGAAACATAAAGTGGGGTGCCAGGATGACCAATGCCAGTGGAACTGAAAAAGGTGCTGGCCAGTCCAAGCCACTGATTTTTATTAGTAATTAATTGGGGTAAAGGCAAACAGTGTCCAAGGGCAGGACTACATGAGAAGATACCCAGTTGTGCTGTTTCTATGGAAATTAATGTCAGCAAGGCTCATGAAGGCCAAGACAAAGCATTCTCGAATTAGGAACAGAATAGACAAAATACATAGTTGAATTAGAACATTGCTTTTCTCGTAAGAAGGTTTTAGTTGTGGGAACAGAATTTGGGTATGAATTACTCTGACCTCCGCCTGTAGACTTTGGCTGGACTCATTTTTCAAAACAAGCCAATTGTGGAGTTAACTCTTCATAGCCTGCTTTGGGTATAATCAATATTACAGTCTCCCACAGAATTGTGTATCATTCCTTGATCTCTGTCTCACAGAACACTGGACCTGGCATGTAATAGACAGGCAATACATTCATAGATGTTCACTGAAGTCAAGAAATTAATACTACTGTGTTTTTTCTCCTTTGATATGTCACTGAAATGATGGAGGGACTTGTATATATTTATTTTTAATACTATGTATACTATTCAGGGTTTTTTAGAGTATATATATTTTTTTATAAAGTTGATTTATGCATTTAGGGAAGGTAGCAAGTCCAAAATCTTTAGAGGCAGTGTCCCAGTTTGAGTCCAAAGGCCAGCAAACTGCTATAGAAGCAGGAAGAACAAATATTCCAGTTTTAGGACAGTCAAGAGAATTCTCTCTTATCTAGGGCAAGTCAGCCTTTAACTGATTGGGTTAGGCCCACTCACAGCAGAGAGGGCAATCTGGTTTATTCACTCTGTAGATTTAAATGTTAATCTCACCCGAAACAGGCCAAATAATGTTTGACCAAATATCTGGGCACCTCATGGCCAAGTAAAGTTGACATGTAAAATTATCCAATATCATAATATCATAATATTAACACTATTAATATGTGAACTACTATTGATTTTCTTTTGTTATGACAACTGATCTTGTTTTCCTAGAATAAACCTACCATTGCTATGAATAAACCTATCTATGTTATTATGTTTATTTTACAATTGCTGGATTCCATTTCCTAATGTTTTATCTAACATTTTTCATCTATTTCCAGGAGTGAAGTTGTTTTGTGATTTTCCTTTTTGATCTTGCCTCATGTGGTTTGGTGTGCACTAGCTTCTTAAAATGAAATAAGGATTATCAGCTGCCCTTAATGTTAGATTTTTTAAAATATGTTTTATAACTTCAGTTTTTGGGTTCATTTTGAGTTTTTGAGTTTTTATTTTTTGTTTCTTTTCATATTTCTTCCCAGCTGTCTTCAACCAATCCTCTCCTGCTTCTCTCTCACCATCATTTTGTTATAGCTTCCACTTGACTCTGGGCCAGATTTTATAACAGCATTTGGTATTTCTGCCCTATAATGACCCTTGGGACATTGTCCCATTATGAAGACAGTATTTCATGAGGCATAGATTTTGGTTGGGGCTTCTAAATCTACCTTCTTAGACCTTCATTGTTCCAAAATGTTGGTCTCCAGGCAGTGGTGAGGCACTATTTCTTTCAGCCCTCTTAGGCCCCAGTTTCTGACTTTAAGCAACATACTTGTTTCCTGTCTGCCATTTTGGCCCGCCATCTTGGTGGATTTGCCTAGCAAGGGCCAAGCTCCCTGTGGGGTTTCAGACAAAAAGCCCAGTGGGTCAGAGTCTTCCTGAAGTTTCTTTTCTGCTTCTATTGAACTAGATATCTCTTTTTAGCTTTCTATTTTTATACATTTTTTGTCATGATTTTGTGTTTAGAGCTGAAAAATGAATCAAAATACAAACTCATTGAATACAAACTCATTGTCCAGAATGCTCTTCCCTTTATTTCTTCAATTCCTGCCTTGTTACATGGGAATTTAAAGAAGCTGTTTTACTTCATCACTGTCTCTCTGAGTCAAACAGAGCAGGTTTTCTTACTAGCCCCAGTGTCAAAGGAACAAAAGAAGAAAAAAGCTCAGGTTTAGTAAGTGGCTGGCTACAGAGTCTGGAACTCCTTGAAGGGCTCCAAACCCCATCTCATTTTAATCTTTGGGTCACTCTTGCTACCAAGAGAAAGAGAACACTGAGTAATCATGGCATTTGTTAAAGACAATTTCCTTGTCAACACTTATGATTCCTTAGGCATTTTGTGATTTCCAAAAGAAAAATATCAGTGAAGGAAAGGTCTGATATGCTGTTATGCCAACAGATTTTAATTTAGATACTGTCATTCACATTTATTCTTCTCATTTACCTTTCTAGTCCAAATTTCCATGCTCCAACATTCCACTGAATTCAACTCGACTCAAAAAATATTCACTGAGCCTCCTTTGTGCTCAGGCATGATCAGGTGGTACAGGCTGGTCTCTGATTGTTCTAGGAAGGGTGACCCCAAAACCATGGCTAGACTAGTAACAGTTTATCTGTGAAGCCTTTTCTATGTGCCAACCTCCTTGCTGGCCACAGGAGAGGTCAATCAGTTGGTAGGACTTGTCTCTTGGGAGCTTACAGGTTAGGAGGAAAATGGATGTGGTCACCAATGACTGGCATATGGGTGGAAAATGAAGATGGTAAAACAGACCACCCAAGGTCAGATGGAAGGGAGTGAGAGGAGGCCAGTAAATCAGTCCAGAAGCTGTTGTCAGGTTCCTGGCAAAAGCTGATCCAGGCTGGCCTTAGTCTTGAGAGCATCAAGGGGCGGAAGAAGGTTGAAAGGGTCACCTTGATGCTACTGGAAACTGTGCAGCCATTCCAGTATGGAAGGAAAATCACATCTGCCAGAAAATTGTCACGGGTGTTGGTTGGGGGAACAAGTAAGAGGATGGGGTCGGCATTTTAGCCTTATCTTGAAAGGTGGGCAAATTTGAGCAAACATGTTACTTCATACCCTGTACCTTATCCTTAGCCAGGAATTCCGTGAATACTGAACTGAACTGACTAATCATCAAAAGAGATTTACTGAGGATATTTTTAAGAGAAGGTGGTCTAAGTTCAGATCAGAATGTTACTTAGACTAAGGATTCATTTTGAAGATCATGGTTGTCAATGAAATCTTTTCATTTTATATAAATTTTACACTACTTTTTTTGTAATTTGATTTTCTAAAGATTTCCTTTAAATATGTTTCCTCTTCATCCTCTGACTCTCCTAGACTGTGCTTCTGTTTTATTCACTTATTCAATGCCCATGGCTGGGATCCACACAAGCCCATATCGGTCCAGACCGCCAGGCTTAAGTTACTGGTTGAAATAACCCAGACACCATGACAATGATTGTGAGCAATGCTGTTTTAAAAAGTGACCTTTGCTCACTCTCCCAGAAAAGCTACCTGTACTGGTTTTAAATGATGGTTGCCAATGTCCTTCTATTTCAGAGACACCAACCACGGCCTCACTCTGTGCTCTTGGGTGTCAGGAGGTACACCAAAATAGTATCAGACCTGCACAGAACTGAAGAGATGCTAATCTTGCTCCTGTATCTCCTTACTCTTTGGCTGGGAAAACACCCAGCATAATGTTACCTTTTGGACTTTAAATGGACAGTATTTAAAAGGATTATCCCCATGCCTGTGTCAATTGGACTGGGTGAGTTAAAAAAAACATATACATAAAGACAATGTTTATATTTAAATGTCAGACATTGTGTGGGTAGATTTAGTGTTCTTTCCTATCCATGAATAACATTACAAACCATAATTAATTTATCCATGTTCCTATCTGCACACCATTATTCTGGGACAAAAAGGGGGTAGGGAGAGGTGGTGGGGATGGGCACTCTATTATTCCTTTCAGAAAAGCTTTCTTAATTGGATGTGTTTTCTTTTCATAATATTGTGAAGATTATGGTTATTTGTCAAATGCAAGGCCAGCTGTGTTGTCTAAATAATGGGTCCATGGACAGCTGCATCATCTTCCTTGGGTGACTGTGAATTGGTGTGTAGGCCCACAAGACCTGGGCAGGGGCTTCAATGACTATTTTAATAGAAGTCTTGCTGTCCATTAGCTTGGCCACATTCAGTGACGTCTGTTGAGTCCAGTACACAGCACAGACCCTTAGAACTGGTACTATACAGTTAAATTTGTTTAATGGAAAAGACAGCCCTTGCCCTGAATCAATGATCCCTAAGGTGGCAGCCATGCACAACCTAATGTAGCAGACATTTATAAATCTCTGGAACTATAGGTAAAATGTTGCACATGTGTGTATTTTATAGTGGGAAGGAGGAGAGCTGAAGTTCTTCTCAAATCCCCAGGAAGAATTTGAAAAAATTAATAACCACTGATCTAAACTGATGAACAGAGCATACACATCAGGCACAGGCAAAAAGCACTTACACCACAACAAATGAGCAAGGTCAAAGCAATTCATTGAAGAAATGAACTCTCAGGTGTGCAAAGGAAGGAGAGGCCAGGTGTCTCCAGGAGTTTTGCAGAAAGTGGTTACAGGAAGAGCCTAAAACAGAGAAACCAAGCCAATACCTGCAGAACTGGACAGGACATGGTAAGTGGAACCAATCCTTGTTGGGGACAGTGTAGGGTAGGGAATCTGTAGTTAACTTGTTAGTTTATGCTTTTGTGTAGAGGGAGCCACATCCTCAGCTCTGCCCTCCCCATTTGTTGTCCTGTCAAAGGTGGCCAAGGCCTTTCCAGGTCCCTTGAGTGTTATAATAGAAACCAGAATTCTGTATGTTTCATATGAGAGCTGTCAATTTTTTTATCTTAAAAATTAATTCAAAATTAAGTGAACAGATCCCATGCCTAAAGGCTCAGAACTGGCCAGTGGCCCCCAGTCTTGGGGCTGAGGTTTAGTGAGTCCTGGGCCCTGTTTAGAGAAGGGTCACCACCATGGGGCCTGTAAAGCTAGGAACAGAGAGACGATTCCCTGGGAAGGGGATCACAGTGGGGGCAAGGGGGAGTGTGCACTGAGAATAGAGACACCATTCACTCTGCAGGAGGGGCAGAGCAGTGGGGAATGAGCCTGGTGGCACAGCTGCAGGGCCCCAGCAGGTGGAAGGCAGTTTCTTTTTGAGGTTTGAGGAGAATATATGGATGTCCCAGCATTTGGGAAGAGTGATGCTTCTAGGCAGGACGCCCAGACCGAAATGTGTCCTGAGAAGAAACTGAGGCAGGCCTCTTGTGATTGCGTGACTCATACAGAGAGTTGTGATGAAAGAAGGGAGCAGAAGAGACTTGAGAGCATCCAATGGTCGTCACAGAAGATATGGGCATGTCACGTTGCACATGTAGGATGACAATGGAAATGTAGAGAGATGATGCTCTTTCCTATCTTTCTGTGCCCATCATTTGTCCCCAGGAGGGTAGGAGGAAGACATCAGTGCCCTTCCACCCCCTCTGTCTTTCTCCTAGGGCAGAAGTATTATTTCAGCATGCAGCTGCACCTGTGCATGCTCTGTGGCTAGGAAAGAAAGGTCCTTTGCCTTAGGAGTGTTCCTCAAGGAAGCCCCAGAAGTCCCCGGGGGATGAGAGTTGCCCATGGGAACAGTAGGAGCCACGGGATAGAGGGAGAAAAAGCCAATGCTGCGGTTTGGATCTTAAGTATCTCTCAAAGGTCAAGGTGTTAAAGTTTTGTTCACCAGCTTGGTGCTATTGAGAGAGGTGGTAGAAACTTTAAGAGGTGGGCCCTAGTGGGAGATTTGTCAGTCACTGGGGACCTGGGTTTTTTTTTGGTACCGGGGATCTACCGGGGATTGAACTCCGGTCCTTGTGCTTGCGCAGCAGGCAGTGAAACCACTGAGCTACATCCCGGGCCCTGGGGACCTGTTTTGAAGGAGGTGTTGGGACTTCAGCCTCTTCTCTCTGTTTTGCTTCCTAACCATGAGGTGAATGCTTTTGCTCTGCTACATGTTCTCACCATGATGCACTGCTGTGGGCTCAAAGTTGTAGAGCCACCTAACCATGGACTGAAACCTCTAGACCTGTGAGCCAAAAGAAACTTTTTCTCTTGTAAGGTGATTATCTCAGGCATTTGTTTTAGGAATGTGAAGCTGACTGACAGGCACCCAGGGAGGACCCACAGGGCAGGAATGTCCGCAGCCTAACCCAGGGGCATCTGGACACCACTGAATGGCAGCCGCGGGGAATGGTGAAGAACTGTCTGTGTGATCCTGAGCCCCAGGTGGGGCACACTGACCATCAGTGCTTTCTGGAGACAGATTGAGCCCTTCTTTCTCTGTGGCAGAGAAAGAGCAGTTAGGAGTAAGGTGTCCAAGTTATAAGGTAAATCGAATGTTTCCTAAGAGAGGAGAAACAGTTGGAACTTTGTCTTTTGGGGGTCACATGAGGTGGGAACTAATAGAGTGAAGATAAAGTCATTGAGTGTAGCAGAGGCTGTGTTTGTCACCCTTCCCCTAATGGGATTAAGAAAAAAAGAGAAAGAGGGAAGGCAGAAGAACAAGAAGGAGGAGGATGGGGAACAGGAGAAGAAACAGGAGGGGGAAGAAGAAAAGAAAGTGGAGGAGGGGAGCAGGGGGAAGATGAAGAAGAAAAAGGAAGAAGAAAAGAGGGAGGAAGAAGAGAGAGAGGAGCAGAAGAGGAGGAGGAAAGGTAAGGGAAAGGGAGAGAGAGAGAGCGCGCGCGAGAGAAGAACCTAATGACTTGTGAGCTATGATTCTGCTACTGTTACCATTCAAGGATCAATTGTACCTGTACTATGCAGAGAAGTAAGAAAAGAATGAAAAAGTAAAGGGAGAAAGAGAAAAAGAAAAGTCAAGAGGAAACCATTTTAAGTTCACCAAGGCTAACACTGCACTCTCATCTGTAATCATGTCTCATCCTCACAAATAGGAAAGGACAACGACAGCAGGGTAATAACAAAATAAGTCCTCATATGCAGGCTAGAGAGAGCCAGGAAGAGAAATAAGAATACCACGGCTTACACAGCGCTTTACCTTTCTGAGAACATTTCATCACACGATTTCCCAGCACCCTGGTGACAGGTGGGAGGCGGGGAGGCCCTGATCCGTGTAGCTAGTCTGGGGTGCTCGGTGTATGTCTTCATGGACTATGAATAGAAGGGTCCCACAAAATGTTTGCTGACACAAACATTCTGCTTCAATTCGTTACCCACTTTATCTCCTGGTGGAGTCCTTGTTTGTGTAAAGGCGGGCAGCTGAACAGCCTAAATAAATCCTGGGTAACCTCACCACCGACAGCGTGAACACAGTGGTGCATTTCCTTACTACCATTTGAAATAATACTTAGCATTCTGTATTGGGGTCTTGTATTTCCCACATAACATTATAAGATATGACACATAAAGACATCCCATGTTGTTATAAATCATTTGTAAACACTGTCTTAAGGACTGCATGTAATCTTCCTCTACACAGAGTAACAGTCTCTCATGTGTGCCATTTAATTAACCATTTTTCTATTTTTAGACATTCAGATTCCAGTTATTTGTAAGTAAAACTACTAAGGCTTTTCTACAGTTTGGATCCTTTCCATAGACCAGATTTCAAAGCGCACAATTAGTGTCACAGGCTATGGGCAGTCTGGACCTTTCCAGAGTGGCTGTGTGGTCCTATATTCCCACCCAGCAGGGAGAACACCAAACCCCTCTGTCAGCAAGGGGTAGTGTCTTAGACTGCTCCACGGTGGTCCCCCAGGAGAGCCTCCAGTTATCCTCCTCCCCAGGAAGAAGTGACCTGCCTGCTAGTTGTCTTGTGGCTGTGGGTCCCTTACCTGCCCCTGCTAATTGCCTGCAGGTCCAGCCTGGATGTTACTCCCCAGCATGGTCACTTGGCAGTCATTTGGGGACTGTCCCTTCTCCCTCTGATCTATCAAGCTTGTGGGCAACTGCTATGAAATCTGCCTGGCCATTGCTCGCTCACCCCGGGAGACAACAGGAAGGCCAGGCCGTTGAAGGCGCCCCACGTACTTTGTGGGGCAGGGCCAAGTTTCTGGTGCCTCCAGAGACTGACGGCGGCGCTCTGGGCCCCTGCTGCCTGGTGCACCCCTATACCCTCAGCTCTGGGCTGCGCACCCCATAAGCAGGTGCTCAGTAAGCGCCTGCTGATTCGGTGCACACCCACGGCTGAAGCGCAGGATAAAGCCAGGAGTCTGGTGAGCTTTGGAGCCATCTTCAAAGCGATTCTGTTTGGAGATGTTTTAAGGGGTGTTCGCGGGTGGGGTCTCCCAGGAGGCCTTCCCTTGGCCAGAAAGGGCTCTTCCCTGCCAACCCTACACTTCGAAGGTAGCTCTGTCTGTCTGTCTGTCTGGCCTCCCTCCTGCAGGGTTCCTGCCAGTGCTGAGCCAAGCAGCGGGATCCACTGCGCTTCCCCGCGCGCAAGTGGGTGGTTTGGCCTGGAGTGTAAAATGGGGCGAGCCAGGGTGGGCAAGGGCTGGGGCTGGGTTGGGCTGGGCTGGGCTGGGGTCGCCGGGGGATCCCGGGCTCCTCGCTGCTCTCCGCAGAGCGGACTGGACACAGCCTGCCCGGGGAGGCCCCGCCCGCCCCGCGCAGCGCTGGCCGGCGCAGGGCGCCGCCTCCTGGCTCCCAGAGCCTGACCCCAGCGCGCGGCCGCGCGGACCCTGCTCCTCTCCTGGCCGTCTGGTAGACCCGCAGGCCGGTAAGTCGGGGGCTCCTGCCTGCGGACCCCTCCCTCGGCGCGCGGGGCTCCTAATCAGGAGAGGACGGGGTGTCGGTCTCCGGGAGCGCCCGGGACGCGCCCCGAGCGGGAAGAGCAGCCAACCCTGCGGTGCAGCCGCGATCCGTGCGCTTCAGCCCTCGCTTCCTTTCCCTCCTCTCTGCCTGTCTTCACTTAACTTTAAAAAAAAGAAAAAAGGGCCGGGGATTTAGCTCAGTGGTTCTGCCGCCTGGGCACAAGGTCCTGAGTTTGATCCCCGATACCCCAAAAAATAAGAATAATTTAAAAAAAAAAAAAAAAGGCGTAGGAAAACCTCAAAGCCATAGAACAACGGAAACATTTTCCCATTATTATTGAATGATGGGTATTCTTGTAGAAAATTTGGAAAATACTTGAAAGCATCAAAAGAAAATTAAAACCACGACCATCCTGGTCTTCACTTTATTCCCAAGAGAGACCTTCATTTCAGCAAGATTTGAATACCCTGCACTGGCCGGAAAGGGTAAACGTTTATTTTATTTCATTTTATCTTATTTCTTTGACCAGGAGAGGTCTTTGGTCTTGGTGTCTCTCTGGGGAAAGGACATGGGATGTGGAAAATAGTATTGATGTCTGATCTTGATTGTAGTCATGGGGAAGCAGGGAAATTTTCCGAAGAAAGCTAGTCAAGCAACAGCCATCCATACCGATAACTGGCTTGAGTCTGTATTTAGATTAAGAGCTCCCAGTCCCACTGAGGGAGACCCTGGGTAACCACAGCTGTCATCTGTGGTCAGAGTGCTGGGGACTTTGCTGCATTCACACGTGGTGCTTGGATTCACCATGTGTTGAGTGAGTTTCTTGAGGGGACAGCCCTCTGGCTTCTCTGCCCTGTTTGGGGCTGCCCATCAGGCGAGCTGAGGTCAGTCTGTGGACCGGGCTCTTGCTTCCCAGAGGAAAGGGTCTTGAGCTCATCGGGTAGAGCCTGCCTATGATACGTGATTGGAAAGTGAGCCATTTTGACAACGAGGTTCACTTTGAGATCTCAGAGGGATTCACTGATGTCACCCTCAGAGGGTGAGACAGTTCATGGGAGATTTGGGATCTTTCTGGCAGCTGAATGGAACACTTAGGCATTCATGCATGCATGCCTGCATCTGATGAATGCTGATTGCACTCCACCGTAGGCCAGGCACTGTTTTAGGCATGGGGGATAGCATGAGGAACAACCCCGCAAAGAACCTTGTCCTCAAACGCTTACATTCTGGTGGGAAAGAAAAGCATTAAACAAGGAACACAATAATCAGAACAACTCTATTATATTAGGTGATACATACTGTGGGAAAAAGGAAAGGAAGTGGTACTGAGAAGAGGAGAGAAAAATGTAAACTGGGTTACACATATATACTTATGGCTACTATACATTAAATATGCAAAATAAATAATAATATGAAGAAAGAAAATAAATAATATAAATTTTAACGTATAAAAACGTATTACATCACAAAAGGTTTTCATGTGGCTATCGAACCATGCGTTTCCAGAATGTAGTGCACTTATTATTCATGGTTACTTTCCCATCAGAGTGGAATTGAATCTAATACTTTGCATTCTCATTTAGCTCAGAAAATCTTTATTGAAATGCTCTGGGTGCTGGAGTGGCAACAGAGGTGAACAAGGGAGTCTCGGACCTTCAGGAGCTCTCGAAAGGAAAGGCCCAGGCACAGCCACAGATGATTCCCGTAGAAGTAGCATGTGACTGGTGTTGCAGGAGAAGTAGACAAGGAAGGATGTGGGAGCACTGTGGAGGGGGATCTGCAGGGGGGTCCCACATACTTTGGTGTAGGAGCTGGCTTTTGAAGGAGCAGTAGACTCATGAACAGATGTGGAGGGCTCAAGTCTTAGTGAGAACAGCAAAAGGAAGGTGAGACCTGCTAAGAGGTAAATACAATATGCTTCCAGAACTGAGACATAGGGTTGTGATAAAGATGAAAACAACAGAGAACTGCTTCCAAGGAACATTGACTCATCAAATTCTTGACTCAATCAGGATCACACTCACCCAAATTAAGCTTATCCATAATTGCTTTTACCCTAACAGCTTCCTAAAACAAATAATGCCAAATGATTTCAAGACTGTATCTTTGAGTCTTGCTTAAGGAATGCTCTTTCGAGGAACTGCTTCAGGAATGCTGGTACTAGGAATGCTACTCCCATTCCACAGAAGGAGGAGCTTCAGGAGGACTGTATGGTTCATGAAGGACAGAGCAGAGCTGGGTCCAGATCTCCGAGCTCTGGCTGTAACCTCCCCATCTCCCTTGCCTGCCCCGGAATATACCCCTCCTGGAGGAAAGCAAGCTGGGAGTCAGCTGTAAAAGTCCTGCCCTGGCAGTAAGTGCTTAAGAAAGGGCAAAAGTTGCCAAAGGTGGGAAAGTTTCTGGTTTGCACACTCCCAGGCCGTTATCAGTGCTGATAGCTGAGCCAGCTGGAGCAGGTAGTAAAATGCAGAACTGTGTGCCAAAACACAGCGAGGTGTCCCCCCTGGCTCCTTCTCCTCTGGGTGCCTGAGGAGGTCCACCTGGGCTCCATTTGCAGCTGTTCAGTTCACCTCAGCTGCCCAGAGCCATGTATCCTGAGTGGTTCCCCGCAGGCCAGCAGCTCTGGGTCTATGCTTTAAGAAAAAACAAAAATACCAAAACAAAACAAAATACCTATGCATTAACTTGATAGGAGCAGTGTCCATCCCTCAAACCCAGGCACAAATAGAAATTTCTCTTTCTGAGCTCAACAAGACCCAGTTTGAGAATGTTCAGCACAAGCTGGTTTTGTTTGGTGTGGGCCTTCCTGATTCCCACTGCTCCTCCTGCCTCCCCTGGCTCTTTTCCCACTGTGCGCACTACACAAAGCCATGGTTCTCCCTGGGGATTGGGGCAGGGTGTAGAGGGAGGGCTAGGGATGGTGGCAATCTCTGTTGGTCTACTTAGGCCAAAAGCCAGTCCTCCTGTAGGACCTCCAACTTCACCTGACAAAAGTGACTGATTCCTCAGTTCCTTTGAGCCTAGAGAGTCTGTCGGCACTCCACATGGTCCTGGGGACTCCTTTTTCCATAATAATAAAATGTGAATCCATAGTTAAAAGATTTAATTTCACACGTATTTTGATAGGAGTGCTTTCCTTTGGCACATTTTCTCACCTCTGTGGAGTCCAGTTTTCTGTAAATTAAGATTGTTGGGTCAGTCATTCTCTAAACTCATCTGAGTCCAAAAGTTTGATGCTGGGGCCAAAGCCATGTGGGTGCTTTGGTACTGTAATGGAAGTAAACTTAGAGAATCTGACATAAATTCTCAAACAGCATTCAGACTGGACTTGTGTCATTTGCACCATGCTGCTGACTGTTGTTAAGAGGACACTGCTCAACTCACTTGGAGACTCATTACACAAAATACCACCATGTCCCAGCCTGCAAGCATTTGGGGTATGGGGAGCACTTGACAAGGCAATGCAATATGTTAAATGTAAAGCAAGAAAAATTTTTCTTCAAATATGCAGAGTTCTTCTTTGAAAAGCAGCTAATGAACTTGGCTTTTCTGGTCTGCAAAAGCTCTGACAGGCTAATAATTTAAGGTGCCAGTGTGAGTCAGGCTGGGGACAGCTGGGGTTATAATAAAGATAACAATTTGTCTCCAGGAACCTCTCATCAGACTACATCAGAGACATGAAAGACCAAGAAAAATCTGAAGAACTAGTGAGATTTGAAAATTGGGCGATGAAATCATGCTTTATAGTCTTAAAAAAGTCGCCCAGGTACCCTGCATCACAAAAGAAGATGTTCTAATGTCCTATACCACAGCCCAGATGTCCTCAATCTTGGCTACAAATGAGGATGTCTTGGGAGGAATGTTACTCTGGTGTAGCAGGGATGTTGTACTCTTATAACAGAATTCCTGATACTGAATAATTTCTAAAGAACAGAGGTTTATTGCTTACAGTTCCGGAGGCTGGAAAGGTCAAGTTCAAAGGATTCATATCTAGAGAGGGTCTTTTTCTGTGTTATGCTATGGTGGAAGAAAGAAGGGCAAGAGGGCATGGGGGGCCAGACTCATTCTTTTATAAGGAAGTTCCCTCAAGATAATGGCATTAATTTATTCTAGTCATTCCTTAAAGGTCACATCTTCTAAGACTGTTGCGGTAGGGATTAAGTTTCTAATATCTGAACTTTTGAGGACACATTCAAAGCATAGCAGGAGGTTTTTTTTAAAGTCCCAGTGCTAAATAGGAGCCCAGATCGAGAATATTAAAATCTCTAGTGATATCATTATTTTTTAAGAGCCCCACGTGGGATTCCAATATGATGCCATGCCTGGTCTCCACACCAGCTGCATCAGCACCATCCAGGATCGTGTTCAAGATTCAGGTTCTCATGCTGTGCCCCAGACCTGGAACAATCTCTGGAGGTGGAGCCCACCAGTGTGCACCGAACCAGGTCCTCCTAAAGCATGCTGAGATTTCAGCACCACCACCTTGCAGCAAGGCTAAGGGTGGTTTGGCCCAGGGAAATGTTCAAAGCAAATGTTTTTGACTGCTTCCTCGGCCATAGAAAATTCCATGTGGTTTTAAGTGACAGGTGTTTTCAGTAAACTCACCAGTATGAATGAAATGCAGAAGTTACTCTTAAAAATAATTCACTGAGTGGAGTTATTGGTTCTAAACCAATTAACATTTGCGTCTCCATAATTCTAGACTTACATGGTCATTAACCTGTAAAAAATCCCTAATAGTAACTGGTAGCAGGATTTTTGTCCATTGTAGTCATTCTGGGTTTGGAGAAATAAAATGACATCTTCAGTTTAAGACATGCTGTTTTCTGGGGCAGGGTTCCATACATCCATAGTTGGTTTCAAGTCATTTAAGAAGAAATTGAGAGGCTGAGACAGGAGGATCATAAGTTCGACTCCAGCCTGAGCAACATAGTGATTTATCAAGACAGTGCCTCAAAAATAAAAACTGAAAATAGAAAAAGAGGCTGTAGCTCAATGAGAAGGCCCTAAGTTTGATCCCTGTACCATGAAAAGAAAAACAAAAGAATTGGTAACAAGAATGAGTATCTGGGCATCTCTTGAGCCCATGCCACCCTACTAATCCTGACAGGCCTTACCTAGACTCAAAAGCCCAGCCATCAGGAGGGCTACGAACATCTTCACTTTTCATTCATGACTGAGCTGGCCACAAGGTAAAGAAGAGAGCCTGGTCAGCCAGGGGACAGCCAAATCTAAAACCTTAAATCCTTGGGCCACAAATTCTTTTTTTTTTTTTACCGGGGATCAAACTCAGGTCCTTGCACTTGCGCAGCAGGCGGCGAAACCACTGAGCTAAATCCCCAGCCACAATTTCTTAAGTAGGTGGAAAAACCAATAAACTCATCCTGGGAACCACAAAATGTGTGCCTGCTGTTTCCCCAGTAGAGTAACAGCCACTCTGCATGTCTTGTCCATGACCCAACAACCTGCAATGTCAGTGATGTTTCTTCCCATTTTACAAAGGGGAAATAACACAACGCAGCAGGGTCACTTCTGTCACCTGAGATTTTAAAGACCCGTGTGTGTGTGTGTGTGTGTGTGTGTGTGTTGGTTGATATGCACTTTTGATTTCAATTTCAGGTTGCATTTTTCTTTTAGGAAGTTTACTTGGGACGTTGACTTTCCGGTGGTGGAAGCTTGCAGTCCAGGATGATCTTGTCAAATTCCACAGCTGTGATGCCCTTCCTAGCTACTGTGTGGCAGGCGACAGTTCAACCAGACAGCAATGCATCTGGCCTGGCCCGCAGGTCTCCTCTCCGTGATGACAGCAAGCTGGAGGCGCTCTATATCCTCATGGTGCTGGGTTTCTTTGGCTTCTTCACTCTGGGCATCATGCTGAGTTACATCCGCTCCAAGAAACTGGAGCACTCACATGACCCATTCAACGTGTACATTGAGTCAGATACCTGGCAGGAGAAGGACAAGGCATTCTTCCAGGCCCGAGTTCTGGAGAGCTGCAGGGCATGCTATGTCATTGAAAACCAGCTGGCCGTAGAGCAGCCCAACACATACCTGCCTGAGCTCAAGCCTTCCTCATGAATGCCACAGCTGGTTAAAGGTGGACATGCTCCACATGATAATCTGATGTTTCTAATCACACACATCTCAAAGTCTTTATTGTATGGATGCCTCTGGGTTTCTTTTGTCAATTTTAGGGCTTCGGAGGGATTAATGACACTATGTTCCTAAAATCACATTCCTTCTATAGTAGACTGTTGATTGTTTCCCAGTATCTGTCCCTGCCTTCTTATATCTAGCAAAATTCCTGACCATGGCTTCCAAACGTGTGGGATGCAGGCTGGACATAGTGGTTGTCTTAGTTACTTTTCTCATTGCTGGGCCCAAGAACAAATTCTCTAGGCCGCCACCATTCTGGAACATGGTGCTCTTGGGCTTTCTTCTCAAAGCAAATGCTTTCGCCTTTACAACCCTGGGCCTACAAAGGCTGGTTCTTGTGATGTCCTCAGACCATCTTTTCTTTTCTATTGTTTGAAATACTTGGCTTTTCCTTGGTAGTCTTTTTAGTGGCCAATTTCTCCTCTGTTCCATCCTTGCAGGCTGCAACTTTACTGGAGCTTCCTTTCTGTCCAAATTCACAACATTTTGAATCATTCAGCTAGATTCTTTGCTCTTGATTATCAACATAAATCTGGCTAAAAGCCCCAACAGTAGCCATGCTACCACCTCAACATTAGACTGCCTTGAAATTTCTTCTACAAGATTAGTCCACTGCCCTTAATCTTAGTCTAATGCAAAGTCTCTGAACATGAGCAAAATGCCAACAAACTTTCTGCCAAGACATAACACACATTATCTGGAGTCCAAAAACCAGTGTAATCCTTCTCAGCAGAAAACTCCTGAGCCTAGTCTTTACCAGATCATTTCAGTCAGCATTCTGGTCTTCTGAGCTCTGACCAGAATCTCCCATCAAGTGCAGTCTAAAGTATTCCAGCTCTACTTTTTCAGCCAGCATCTCAACTTTTCTTTTTTCCTCCCCCTCCTATAAGCCAGTTCCAAAGGCTCCTGAACCACATGGTCAGGTACAGTCATAACAATGATCTTATTCCTGGTACCAAATTCTGTCTTAGTTACTTTTCTCATTGCTAGGACAAAATACCCAATACTCAGAGTTAAAGGAAGAAAGATTTATTTGGCTCACAGTTTGTCTAGGTTTCAATCCATAATCAGCTGGGTCCAAGGCAGGATGGCATGGCAGACGGGCATCACAGAGGAAAAACAGTTCATGGTGGGCAGAAGGTAGCAAAGCAAGCAAAAGATGACCACAGCTCTTTTTATTCCTTATATATTACCCAGGCTACTTATAGTGGGTAGGACTCACACCCTTAATCATAGTGCACTTGATTATAGCAGTGCACCATGAATCAATCTGAGTCACACACTCTAGACCCAGCCATCTCAGAAAAAGCCCCACCTATGACTACATGAGGCTTGAGGGGATAACATCTAGACACAGGCATAGCAGTGGTACTCTCCTATAATCACAGCATTCTGGGAGGCTGAGATAGGAGGATTGCAAGCTCTAGCCCAGCCTGGATAATTTAGTGACTTAACAAGACCCCTGTCTAAAAATGTAAAAAGAGCTGGGTAGTTCAAAGCAAAGGCC